CATCGAAGTGGGAGACAAAATACTTGTGGAGCAGGACAAAATTGACAGCTTAACCCCTCGTTATAATCCGGAACCGTTTGTGGTGATCGCAAGGAAAGGCTCGATGATAACAGCTCAGAAAGGAGAGACTATACTATGCAGAAATACAGCGAAGTGTAAACGTTTGAAATGCGCTGAGGATGAAGAAAGCGACAATGAATGGCAACCATCATTAAGTAGGCAGATGCAACCTGATAGAGAAGAGAGAGAGCCGACGAGACAGAGGAGCCCACGACCAATGAGGAATAGAATATCGACAAAGCAAACAATATACAAGGATTTTCATACATAATAGACGGAAAAATATACAAGAGGGGAGGGATGTAGTGTCGTAGCAAATAACGATCCCTCAGTAACAAAATAGAACTAAATATGCGCATAATTAGGTACTCATGCGTACGAACAGAGACATATAAAAGGACAAATAATATATATATAAAAAAAAACGGAATACGGAGTCTTCGAGTAAACATTAATTTTTTCGTTAGAAGGTAATATATATCTAGAAACATAGGTGAATAAATATCGATACTAACACGATATCCTACAATATTGTCAGTCGAAATATTATATGCCGTGAGGGCAGGGTCGCAGGTACGTTGTTTTGAACAGCAATTTCCGTGCATGGAATTTTGGAAAGATTCGAAATGAAAGGCTATTTTGTATGATGAACAATGTCGATGTGAAATAAAATTAAGGAAATTATAAACAATCTATTTTAATATTTCAGGCATTCTTTGATTATTCAAAATTCAAGAACAAACGTAGCCTTACCACTTGCTGCCAATCAAAAGAATCGAATTTTGGCATCCGAAACAAATATTTCGATTACGATGTTTGAATTTGTACGGTTGTATTCATTTATCATGTATTGCATTGAAGCGAAGATAAATAAATCAATACATCAGCTGAAAGCGAACGAAGTCAAATTTAAATAATTCTTTGCTGTCGAAATTATTTCTAAAACCTTTCAAAAGTGTTTAATTCATGACGAATTATACGTGTTTACGTGTTTCAGCTCCTTTTTCATCTATTTTGAATCGAAGTTAACCCAGGGTTAAAAAGTTAACCCACCTCGCTAGCAGCGTTAATTTTTTCATCAATTTTAAACCCTGGGTTAACGCTAACCGAGCTTTGTGCAACGCAAATCAACCAAGGTTTAAAATTTAACCCTGGGTTAGGCATTTTTAACCCTGGGTTAGCGTTAACCGGCTTTTGAACAACCGGCCCCAGGTTTGTCTGTGCAATTGTATCTATATGTGTGAACGAATACCCTGGCTAGCTAAGCGCAAAAGGAAAAAAGCTTTAACTTCTATATTCAAAGTCACATAATAATTCGCCCCTGGTGATATAGTCTATAATTTTCAGTAAGATGTGCTAGTTAAGATACGTGGGGCATATGTTTTAATATATCTGCACATACGCTTTTATGTAGCGTATAATTTCGCACTACTATGAAATACGAGCATAACATCATTAGTGAGTGTGTTTTCTCGAACCGAATTGCGCCCTAATTCGGCTAATTGTTAACGGCATTTCTCTACCTTTGAATTCTGCGTACAAAAGAAACCTCAGTCTAACCGCAGCCGCACCGCATTGTGACCGCGACCCCACCGCAATCAGACCGCGACTGCACCGCAATATGACCGCAACCGAACCTCAACCGCAGTGTTAGGTTATTTCTGGACAGTACTGTATGTAACTAAGTCTGCTTTCCAAGTGTGCCGCGTATACTATTATATGACAAAATTTGACAAATAAGTAAATTGTTAAGAGTTTTCGTCATTACAGCCAATGATGTTCGCGACAAGCTTATATTGATGAAATTGTCTTCATGCAACAATATTAATTCTTATTCATGGAAATGCCAGCCGTTAAATGCTAGCCTTTGAGATTGTTAAAATTGCTATATTTTCGTTATTTTCGGCCTATTTGTGATTGTGATTATGTGATTGTGATTATTATTAAAATACTTGAATGGCAGTTCAAAAACGAACTGAAAAACACAAGTTTACAAGTATCAGAAATAAGACTATTTACATATTTACAGTGATAAAATACTCAGAAATACAATTACTAACATGTTAATACCATAACTACAAAAAGATATGCTAACATTAGGTTCTAAAATATTAAAATATTAAAAAGAGTTCCATTTACGTATGCAATACGGCAAAAAGCTATCATTATAGCGTTTCGTTCGACATTTAAAAAGAGAGATCGATCGAGGATGTCTGAGATCGTACTCATGGGTTAAAAGTTTTGGTAATAGACTAGAAATTTTACCCGAAGGGTCATTATAATTATTTTTATAAAAGGTTCTGCATAACCGTTCCCTTCTCGCTTCTAAGGTAGGTAAATTCAGGTCTTTAAGGCTTTCGGTGTAGGACAAATGGGGAAAATAATTTTGAACGCACGTTGCTGAATATGTTCCAATTCAACGGTGAGGAAATTAGGTAGTGAGGTATGCCAAACTGAACATGCATATTCCAGGACAGGTCTGATGAAACTACAATATACCGCCTTAAGATCACTAGGTTGGACACCATTTCTTCTTAATAGCCTTAAGGCATACAGGCGTTTGCTTGCTTTAGAGGATATGTGCCTGATGTGTGTGGTCCACTTGAGGTCGGAGGTTAAATTTACTCCCAGGAGTTTGATAGAGTTCACAGCCTCCAGAGGTAGGTTATTGACAAGCAAGGGTTGTGCGGGGGTTGATTGATCAAGAAGGACACGGTGAAATCTTTAGTTTTTTTTACGTTTAATTTCATGTTGTTCACATTCGACCACTGAGACACCTTATCGAGTTCTTGCTGTAATTTTGGAAAATCCGGTTCACATACTCTAACAACTTCAGAAATAGCACAATCATCAACGTACTTGTACAGTGGTAGTTCACTGGATAGATCATTGACCATTATAAGAAAGAACAAAGGCCCCAATTTTGTGCCTTGCGGAACTCCAGCATTGATTTCTTTCCAATCAGATTTACAAGATTTTAATTTAACGCGCTGTTGTCTGCCTTGAAGGAAACTTGAACACCAATTTAATAACACGGGTGGAACGTTGAGGAGTTGTAATTTGCGCATTAGAATGTTATGGTCAATTCGATCAAACGCTTTGGAAAAATCAATAAAGCAGGATCGAATAATGGTATTAGGTGTTTCCAGGGCCGAAAGCCAATGGTGGATTAGGTGCACGAGGGCGTGAGTCGTTGAGGACTTTTTCACACAGCCAAACTGGAGGGGATCAATGAATGGCATAACAATGGGTGCAAGCCAATTGAACACGAAAGACTCAAGGATCTTGCTCAGTACTGCCGTGAGGGATATAGGTCTAAGGTCCGTATCAATAGATTTCGGTGTAGGGATCTTGCTTAAAGGGAGAACATCCGCGCATTTCCACAGATCAGGTACACGACCTTCTCTAATGGAAGAGTTAAACATGGAGCATACAGGGTAGCTAATATTTGCGGCACATGTTTTCAGGATCCAATTGGGGATCTCATCAGGTCCTACAGACTTACGATCGTTAACACCTGCCAATGCAAGTTCAACAGCATCACGCGTAATGACGTATCTATCAGGAACATTGGAAACGGGTACTGGAGTGAAATTTAAATGCGGTATATCAGCAGCAGCACTGCAGAAGGATTCATTAATGACGGTGGCAAGTTCAAAGTCTCTCAAGACGGTGCCGTTTATGGCTAGACTATTAAACGGAGGGGGGTTAGACATTCCTGACAACTGCTTAATACCGTCCCACCACTTTTTAGGATTGCTCTGGTTCATGTGATTGATTTTTCGTTATAGAATCTTCGACGTGCACTTTTACAGAGTTTTATCACTTTATTGCGATAAACATTAAATTTGGGAAGGTCATTATTCAACCAAGCTTGTTGACGTTTCTTAATGGATTCTTTAATAGCGGGAGTAATCCATGGTTTATCGTTGGGATGGAGTTTAACAGTACGCATGGGAATACATGAATTCAAAGCACCATGAACCACAGACTGGAACAAATCCAGTTGATCGTCACATGAATTTCGCCTCATGAGCGGTGTCCAATTGACAGAGTCCAGGCAGGATATCAAATTTCGTTTGTTGGAAACACGATAATCACGCTTTTGGAGTCGTGTGGTGGGTAGGCTTGGAGCATGTGGTGAAGTGGGTTGAAGTAATATGCTAGAATGATCAGATTGGCCTATAGGTGGCAGGATGGTAGCATCGTAGTAAGCCGATAAAGTTGAAAATGCTTGATCAAGGATATTACTTCCCCTGGTAGGCTTGGTGACCAGAGTTTTCAATCTAAAGGAATTGCACAGATTTCCTGGCTTAAATTGGTTAAAATCTCCGAGAACCAGGACAGCGGAATTAGGATAGTTGGCCAGTGAGGAATCTAAACATTTGAAGATATGCGTTCGAAGCGCGTGGTCATCGCTTTGGGGGGGGTGATAAACTGTTCCCAGGATAATGGAGTTTATTCCTCGGGGTAATCGATCCATTTTGATTAAAAACCATTGACTCTCAATTTCAGGATCGCCTAAGTCAGTTAATTCGGTAAAATTAAGAATTTAATAGAATAAAATTCTATACTAAAGCCGCCATCTTGGATTGATTTCTAAGTACCCAATGCGCATGCTTCTCCGCCATAGTGTATTAAATTTCTAGCCATGTTACAAAAGTCGTTTACCTTGTTCGTGTTAAAGAAGAAATAATAACTTTTTTTGTATGAATCTTCATATGAGAAATTGTAATTATTTACATTTAACGCCCTGGGAGAAATCTATAAAATATATAAGATATTGTAAGAACTGTACATTCTTGAAACCGGACATGAGGGAAAATCACAAACTTTATGGCTTGAGTTGAGTATCAACTCAACTTTGTTTAAACACGGTATTACTCTTCAGGACTTACATGCAATTAAATGAATACAACCTTAAATATTTACAATTATACTTATGTTACTAATTAATTAAACACAAGTTTGCTTTTCAACAGTGCCGCGTATACTATTATAAGATAAAATTTGACAAATAAGCAAATTGTTAAGAATTTTCGTCATTACAGCCAATGATGTTCGCGATAAGCTTATATTGATAAAATTGTCTTCATGCAACAATATTAATTCATATTCATGGAAATGCCAGCCGTTAAAGGTGGTTTGTAACATGTAGAGTAGTAGATTAAATTTCTTCTTCACTTTTATCTGGACCACTGCTACTAGTCAGTTCAGTAAGTTTATCGTAACAATGATTTGCAAATATCTCAGCGTGTTCATCATCTACTGTTACATTACTGACAATTTCCCAGGTCATTTTGCCGTTAATGGTGTAAATATAATGAGAAAATGTACAGGTGGCATCATGGATAAGGTCGTTTATGAAACATTCATTTAGTTTATAAGTCACGTTTTGCTGTCCACCAATATTAAAAGACCCCATACTTGATATTAAATTGCAGGGGCATTTGGGAATTAGCTTGCCGGTGATAAATGGGCTGATTATTTCTATTGGTTCCATTACTCCACTGACTACAGTCTCTTCAGTTATATATCTTTCTTTCTTCACATAAGATTTGATCTCCTCGGTAGTTTCTTTGGCTAATTTCCAAAATTCGCCATCATCATCTGGTGCGTAATTCATATAACAACCATTCTGCATGTACACAAAATACCGTAAGTAATCCTTGTCTGGTTTTGGATCACAAAAGCGCAGGGCATTGATAGGAAACGAGAAATCTATCTCCGTATCTTTAGGGTTTCCATGTTCCATAAGTCTAGAAAACGCCAAATGTGCCGCTGCCGTGATAGCTCCAGTTACTGTGCAATTATTTGCTTTGCAAGTTTGTATAATGTCACTCGATTGCTTCTCACTAAATACTTTTATATTCAACCGGCATGGCACGGATAATTTAGACACTTCTGGATTTGGTGGGAATTGTTTGTGATATGGATTATTCGGCTTCTTTCCCCTTTGGCGAGTTATAATTTTTTTCATAAGAACTTTCAATATCTGTCGCAGACCGCAATAGGTTAGCAGCAAATTATACAATGAATGCCAAATTCGATGTCGAGTAACAATCTCATGAAATTGTGGCAGCAAATCAAGACTGGGGATTTCCTGATCAACACTGCTAGTAGCGTTCGCGAGTTCGTTCATTGTATTAAGGAACAGCTTGCAAAACTTGACAGTAGACACGCCGTCGATACTTGAATGGTTAAATTTAAACATTAATGTATTTACATATTTTCGAGTATCAGATAGGAATTCCTCTCGCAAAATCACAACTCGCCATAACAGACCATTTCCTCTCTGTTTTGCTGTATATTCAAACCAGACATCTTGCCAGTCCGAAGCCTTTACATCGGAAGTGGTGATATCTAACATTCCAATGACTTCACATATTTCCTTGATTTCAAAATATTTATCACCATTCGTCGTTGTTGTTATGTAACGTGTTGAAGTACCAAGCTCTGTTTCGATGCTATGGATATCGCCAAGCATATATTCGATGCACCAGATTTTTCCGTGGAAAGAATATCTAGGACTTCTTCGAGCGCCCCAAGTCGACGTTGGTTTGAACGAAAGGTTGCTGGCAATTTGCTGTTTCCTTCGCTAGTGAAGTATTTCAGAATCTTGTATACAAGATATACGCAGACTGTAGACAGAAAACCTTGAGTTATTGACTCAACACTTGCCATGTTAGTACCAAAAATCAAGTTTCAACGTACAGCGAAAGTTTGTATAGTCAAATTTTTGGTTAAAGCGGGTTTTAACAAGGCGGAATTTTGAACGATATTTTTGGCTTGATTTTGTGTTCAATTGTGGTTGGTAAATTAAGTGGTCGCTTCGGTCTAAAGGCGGATTTCCACTTACAGCGAAATCGTTCGCTAGCGAAATATTTGCATATTTTCTTTTGAATTTTAACAGTATAAAAAAATTAGTTCGACTTGACTGTTCCCAATTCAAAAGAAAATATGCAAATATCTCGCTAGTGAACGATTTCGCTGTAAGTGGAAATCCGCCTTAATTCTCACAGTTCAGGGGAAAAAACTGTTCGATTGCAACTTTCCGCAACGTGCAATATCGCTGAAAGAACTGTTATTTCGTGACCTCTTGAACAGAACTAATGTAAAAGACAAAGAAAAATGTCCGCTCCATGTGCAAAATTCCTCCTAGTGGAAAACAGTCTTAAAACTTCATTAGTTTGTAAGCTGGACTCTACTGTGCCTCAACATAGAAATGCGTGCGCGAGAATGTGATTTGTCCCAACCCAGCAAGTTCACATAAGGCTATTTACTTGATCCCGCTTACCCAGATAATGACAATATTTAAGTGAAACATTACTTCAGCACATTTTGCCAGAAACAAGACAGGTTTTAACCCAGAAATATCATGTAACAAAGCTTACAAAAGTCGTTTACCTTGTTCGTGTTAAATGAAGCACTAATAAATTTTTGGTAAATATTCTACTGAAAAAAAATCTAACCTTGGTAGACTTTATAAATTCAGTATTAAGAGCTTTTGAGTTCAATTGCATTATGATATACTGTATTATTTATCTTTAACCATGTCTATGAAGGTATGTCCAAGGCTTTTGAAATACTTCACTGGCAAGCAAATGAATTGCCTGGAACGTCTAGTTCAAACGGACGTCAACTTGGGTTTTCTGAAGCAGTCGTAATACTCATGCCACAGATGGAAAAATTCGGTGCATCGAATATATACTTAACGATAGCTATAACATCGTGTGGGAGATTACTACATCTAGATGTTCGCGACGCTCTGATACTCTTGGCCAAACGACATATACAGACAATGCTTCTGGCTGTCATAACAACAACGATGAACGATGAAAAATATATCGTTATCAAGGAAGTCAGTGAAGTTGTGACAATGTGACAAATATCCACTTCTGATAGGTTCGGTCCGAAAGGCTTCGGAATGGCAAGATGTCGGGTTTGAAAATACAGGAAAATAGAGAGGAAATGGTCAGTTTAGGAGAGTTGTAATATTACAAGAGGAATTCATGTCAGACAATCAGAATATACAAAAAAACAAATGTTTAACTTAATTCATTCATGTATGGACGGCGTGTCAAGTTTTGCAAGGACCTCCTCAACAACATGCATGATCACTAGCGAACGGTGCCAGCTGTGTTGCCCAACATATTAAATATTTGTGCCACGAGTGTTCACGAGTGTTCAAAAATTAAAAAAGTTCTCCGCACACTAGAGCTTCCTGCTTAAGAACGCTGCAACGAATGGTATTTAAAAAAAACACTTTTGAAATTGAATACCCTTAGTAAAAAAAATTAAATTGTCAAATAATAAACTTCTAGTATGATCAATAATTACTTGTACAACTCGTATATCGTCATAAATAACGCATTTTTCCAACTACTGAGCAAAAATCTAACTGTCCACTTTGGTTCAATCATCTGAGCCACTGTCAGTGCATTCGAGTGATCTTTAAAAAAAATATATCATAGGTGCAATCTTAAATGTTGATTTTTATTGACAATTATAATAAATGTTGTTCTGAAATATTTCGCGAAACCTAATGTAGTCTAGGACCTGTATACGAGTTTCTATGCATTCCATTTAGCACAGGCAATCTCAACTGTTTTAGGGTCATTTGACCATGGCAGTTAACATGGCATATGTGCCAATTAAAACCTGATTCCGGGACTCACACCTGACTCCGCCCTGAAACGGCAGTGCCGACATAGCTCTAACTTCGAAAAAGCAAAAGCAGTAGTCTTTCTGGAGTGCTTATAGTGTTTAGAAGGGTTGCTTTTAGGCAGTGTTGTAGAAAAGGGGGGGGGCTCTTTTGGGAGGAGCCCCCTTTCTTCAAACGTAGAGGGGGCTGAACCCTCTTTCCTATTTTTTTCCAGCCAGTTTACTGATGTAAAACCATATTTTTTCAATTTACCAAATTGAATTAATTTATTTTTGTATATTAACTTTTATCGACAAAGAAATGACCATTGTTAACATATATCTAACTATATTTTTTTCGCCTTTTCGCCCGCGCATCATTCCGCCCAATCTTTACCGTTTAGCGTGCGGTGGAAAAAATAAAGGCCTGACATTCAGGTTAACATATATCTTAGGATTTCACAAATGCATTGTTTAACAGCAAACAGCTGGCAACTAAATTTACAAAATTAATATATTTACATATTTATACAATTTTGAAAATTAAATAGTAACTTCAGTTTGATTGGTTGATGGATGATGGTAAACATTATTTAAACTATGATAAATTATGACGTGATCCATATTATGACGTCAACCAAGGCAAATTTATCTTCTGGAGAGCCCCCCCCCCCCTCTACAGTACTGCATTTAGGGCTGGTTACGGGAAGGGAAAATTTGTTGAACTATAGTATTTAAGCGGTTAAAATGGCCATGCACCACTTTAGGTTAAGTACTAATTATGCATGAAGTAACTAATATGCCTGGCAGAGATTAAATTTTCTTATTTCCTGAAAAAAATATCATGGGACCTAAACCTATCCTTAATTTGATATAATTATACCAGTTTTCGCAAGGATTGACATGGTTTTCTTTATATATAATTTTTTTTCACTTTACCATATCCAAAACATCATTTTAGCCATATTTTGCAGCCGTGTTTGCTTTTTATCGCCGAATTCGCAATTATAATCCATGCATTGGCATAGTGATAGATTTCTAAAGAAGATTTCAGCAATGTCTCGTCATGTTCTGAAGCAGTGCCTGCAGTATACTTTATCTTCGATATTTGGTCCTTCAATATTTCTTCCAATATATGCCGCCATTGCAATGCCTCGACGCTTCTTTGCCCGATAAGTGCTACTTCTTCGTCTTTATATGTATTTAAATTACCGATCCAATATTAAGTCATTGTAGAATAGTTCCAAAATGAAATTGCGAACATTAGTTGTACTTTAAAGGAGTTACCCCATTACATATTTATAGGACCAGCCATCAACAACACAATTTCAAAAATATTTGAAATCATGAGCAATCTTCGCGAAATTCCTCGTGGGCTATTTGGGAGAGGAAGAATGAAAATATCGAGGAAAAATGAAATCAGTTATCATGGCGACAAAGTAATTTTTGTCACAGAGGAAGCTATTTAAACGCATAAGCGACAAGTGTGTTCGCCGTCTTTGTTAAAATACCGCCATTGGATGATGTACATTATGTGAGCTTAGCAGAGGAAACTGAGAGGGCTCTAAAGAAGCCGATTGTCTTAAATTGTGTAGTTATGGTAAAATCAAATAATGAAAATTAATATTATAGGATTATACTTATTTGTTACGAGGATAGAACGAGTTTGCCAGGGATTAACTGTAATTAGCTCCAGATATAATTGACTCGACGTCGTCTGGCGACATAGTTTATTCGAGCTATTATGATAGTATGGACGCAGTAGAGACTCGTGGATTGTCCTAAAGCACACGTCTTTTATTAAAGAAGAATGAAAAAAAAAATTGAGTAGCTGTTTGTGGAGTTATATCTATTCAAACAAGCGCACCATGTCTCTGGCTCCAGGTTCAATCTGTAACTGGAGCTGCGAATCTGAAACTGGAGCTGACTGGCTTATCGATCGTCTACGCAGTAGGCTACTTGTGTTGTTGATGGCTGATCTAAATATGTTATGAGAGGTTTTTTGCTTTAAAGTGCAACTAATGTTTCCAAATGTTGCAATGGTGGCATATTATAAGAAATATTGAAAGACACAATATCAAAGATACATACACTGCACTGCTTCAGAACTTGACGAAACTTTGCTGAAATCTTTCCTAGACATCTATCTTTATGCTAAAGTATTATACTTGCGAAATTCGGCAACAAAAAGCGCTAGCAAACAAAACGGCAAAATATGCAGGTCTTTTAATTTTGATTGGCAATTTTTGTTGGGCGCTAACATGACAAAAAGGAGCAAATTTTTGAATGCAAGTATTCGAAAACTCGTCATTTGAAAAATATAATAATTGTGCAGATAAAGGTGAAATAAGCTTCGGAAATTCTGAAAAAAACTCTTACTCAGAGGCACCCATGGTAGCTCCTAGTAAGACTCTGCCCTTTCACCTTCTACAAGCTGAAATATATACAAGTAAAACCACACTAAGCATCTACCCTGGAAGAAATGCCAATCTACAGACCCAAAATTCAACTCATCTCCTAAAAAAATATCATTTCCGACGATCTAGAGACTCAAATTTTCGAAATATTCCCCCCTTCCACCTTTAATTAACGTGAAATATTCAAAGGTAAAACGAAGATAAAACGAAATCATTGTTTAACAGCCATATTCATTGGCATAAACTCAACATTTTTTCATTGTAATTATACCATTAACGGGTAAATGACCTGGCAAATTGTCAGTAATGTTACAGTAGATGATGAACACGCTAAGATATTTGCAAATAATTGTCACAATAATCTTATTGACCAGTTGCAAATGTTATATTAAAGTGGAAAATGAATGCAAGACAACAAAACGAGACTTATTGTTAATTAAGCTAAATGATTGTTTCAAAAACAATCTTATTCATCGCGTAAACTGTATTTTCTCATTATATTCCTACACCATTAACACCTAAATGAACTTGCCATTTTTCACTTAACTACAAGTTAAGCCCCATTAATCTTGTTCAACAAAGCTTGGGAAATATTTTAAATTAACGAAGCAAAAGGATTTGAAACCTACAAGTATTAAAATTTATAATCAAAAACAAAACGAAAAATTTATATTTTAATAAAATACTTTTTTCTCCGATTGACAGTTAAATTTCTGATGCGACTTGATATTTTATAGACAAATTCCTTGTCTTAGCCAATCATA